AATCAAGATAATCTATCCCATGAGATTTCGCCATTTTCCTCCACACTTCAAAAATCTTCCTTTTCTAGTCCTTCCATCTCATTAAGGAGAAAGATGTACTACTTTTTTATTTTTCCCAGAAGTCTTTTCTCTCTGTGTATCTGGAGTCACATTCCCTCTTGTCTCTGTTGCCTCCCTCTCTTTAGCCTCCCTAATTACTTGTTCCTTCCCTCTATCTACAAATTGTCCCAGGTCTCTAAGATTCTTTTTTTCTTTTTTCCTTTAGCTACCATTCCATTTCTCCTTTCTTTGATCAATTTCCCTTTCAGAAGAATAATCCTTACTCATCTACAAACTTCTGGCACCTGAATTTTGCCTTCAAAAGTGTACTGAAACTATTCTCTCAAGTATCACTATCACTTTCTTAATGATTCTACCCTATTTTCAAACCTCATCCTATTTGGCCTTTTGGTATTTGATACAGTTTACCACTCCATTTTCTATTTGCTTTGGTTAGTCTTTGTTTACATCCTTCCATGACAACACCTCTACCTGTGAAAGTGTCTCCTTCTTTTTTTCCCCTTAAAGTAGGCATTTCTCATTCGTAATGTTCTGACTTCAACAGTTTCCATCATCTTTCAGTAATTTCTCTCATTTCCACAGCATCAATGATACATTTAAGAGGAGTAACTCCCATGTCTCTATCTCAAATGTGACGTTTCTTCCAGTCATTTTTAACTGCCTTTTGGGCACCTTTCCCTTTCATGCACCTCAAACAATACTGGATCAAACAAATCTCAAAATGTTCCCCTCTCCCAAACCAGCTTCTCTTCCTCCTCGCTTCTCAATACTTTTAATTTGACCACCATACACCAGTGTCTTAAGCTGAAAAGACTAGGGTCATATTTGTTTTTTTTTAATTCATTTTTTTGTGAGACAGAGACTCACTCTGTTGCTGTGGGTAGATTATCATATAATGTCATAGTGTCAATCTAGCACATAGCAAGCTTAAACTCCTGGGTTCAAGTGATCCTCCTGCCTCAGCCTTCGAAGTAGCTGAACTACAGAGGACTGCCATAACATTCTGGCATTTTTTTTTTCTATTTTTAGTAGAAACTGAGGTCCCACACTTGCTCAGGCTGGTCTCAAACTCCTAAGCTAAAGCAATCCTCCCTTTCGGCCTCCAGAGTGCTAGGATTACAGGTGTGAACCACCAGTCTCAGAACTTAGGGTCATATCTTACTTTTCTTCTTTTAGTCCCCCCATCCTATGAATAACCAAGTTTTGTTAAAGCTACTCAAAAATGCTTTTAAAAAAGATAGAAACTGATAAATTTGAGCCAGAAGCCCAGAGTAAGTCATACTTATTTAAACTTTAGTTTCCTAAAGTTTACAATATCAACATAATGATGTTGATCATATCAATACCTTAAATATCATAAAAATGCTTTTTTTATTTATCCAAAACAAATATGTTATCTATAACTTCTGAACTCCAATAAGACTTTATATATATTTTTCTAATGGCATCTATCCCATATCCTACCACACAGTCTATACAGCTGTTTGTGGACATGTCTTATTTCTCCCTGAGAGGAACTATAAACTCCCTTAGCTTGGGAAACATTTCTTTTTCTCTTTTTTCTACTTGAAGGCTATATAGTGTGCTCCCATAACAGGAGCTCCACACTGGCAAGTTGATGAAATTTATTAATTGGATTCAGTCCACTGATGGAACAAAGGTAATTTCCTTAATTTTTGGATCAAGCTTTAACTAGAATACATAGGTCTTTTGAACAAAATGATAACAAATGGAGAATAAGGAAAATCAGGAACAACCGAAAATAAAAAAGCTGAACAGAGAACTACATTGGAATCAGCTTTATTACAAAGAGGAGACAAAGAGGAGACAACCTGGGAGGTGAAAGAAAATGAAGTTACCATTTAGGAAGCTCAGCTATTATAAATATTGTAATTAAACTAGAGTATTCTCCTGGGAGTTTATAAGAACAAACAAAAAAGGAATATGCCTAGATAAATTGGAGAAGTATATCTAGATAGGATTTTTAAGCTACTTTGCAAAATCAGTTAGATTGTTTTTGTTTACAAAGCATGGAGCTTGAAATTTGTTTTATTTATCAATAAGGTAAAGAGTTAAAAGCCTAAAAATGATAATTTTTCCTCAACCCACTGCTGGGTCTTCTTCCTGAAAAACTATTTGCTTGTTTATAGTTAAATATAGCCATATTGATGAGTTCTTATAGGGGTGGGCTCAGTGTTTTCTAATATGTTAGATATTTGCATACACACATTAAATTTTTCTACCTTTTTAACTAGACTGTGAGTAAGGAGGTGCACATGTGAGTACCTAGATTCTAATATACCCCCATCATCAATTGTCCTTAGCTTGCAATTTCTTCTCTACTACCTGTGCAGTGTTCAATTTCACTTCCAACTCTGTGGTTTTATAATTTTTTTAAAAACTGGTTTTGCACCAGTTAAGACTTTAAGTTGAAGAAGTTTGGGACCTTGTTTTAGTCACTGTTCTATACCCAATTCTTAGGACAATTTCTAGCACATACTAGGCAATCAATAAATATTCAATGAATAAATTACAAAATTTCTCTGTGCTTCTGTTTTCTCATTTTTTTAGGATTAAAATGTATAAATAAATTGCCCAGTATAGGTTACATATTTAATAAATATGAATTCTTCCCTTTCCCCATTAATTAAAAATAAAGATTCTTCCAAAGCCACATAAGAATCACTGGCAATGTGTAATAGAATCCAAATGATTTCATATTTTAAATATCCTTGTCTATATCCTAGGCAAGGACAGCAATTCTCACATTATATATATATATATATATATATATATATATATATATATATAAATATATAAATATATAAAACAAAGTACTATATATATATATATATACATATACACACACATATAAAACAAAGTACTATATAGAACTAACTCATTGAAAATCTGGGATATCAAGTATAATATACATCCAAATATTCATGCATATTCCCCAACTTATGCGTGAAAGAAAAAAAAAAAAGAAAGAGAAAGGAAGGAGAAAGTGTTAAGTGATTGGCCAAATGAGAGAAAGAGATATACTTTCCTCTCCCAGGCCCTCTCTATTTCCCTCTCCCTTCTCTCACCTTTTCAATTTTGTTGTTTAAACACTAAATTTTGCAAAAGAAGGAATAGGCAAGTCATTTAGCTGTAACCACATTCCCTTTAAATATTTACGTGGATATATGAAAAGTCAAGCCAGTGTTCAAAGAAATCACCCCCCCCACCTCAGAGTTTAATAGGTTCGTATAGATGTGCATGCACAACCAGCAACCTGTCTAGTTATGGAGACATGAAAACATGATTTTTTCATAAATTAAAAAGTGTTAAGGCATAGTGGCTCACACTTTGGAAGGCTAAGATGGGAGGATTGCTTGAGGCAAGAACGTTAAGTCCAGCTGGGGAAACATAGCAAGACCCAATTTCCACAAAAAATAGAAAAATTAGCCAGGTGTCTTGGTACAGGGCTATAGTCCCATCATCCAAAAGGTAGACACAGGAGGATCACTTGAGTACAGGAGTTTGATGTTGCAGTAAGCTATGACGTTGCCACTATTCTTTAGCCTGATCAACAGATCAAAACTCTGTTCAAAGAAAGGACAGAAAAGGAAGGAAGGAAAGAAGGAAGGAAGGAAGGAAGGAAGGAAGGAAGAGAGGGAGGGAGGGAGGGAGGCAGGAAGGCAGGGAGGGAGGGCAATAGAAAGAAAGCCAGAAGGAAAGAAAGAGAGGAAGGAATGAAAGGAGGGAACAGATGAAAAGAAGGGATAGAAACTAGTAGAAAGCTAGTACATCCTTCCCACCCACCCTAGTTTAACTCTTTGATTGCTGCACCTGAGGCAAATAATTTATTTTATCTTGTGGGAGGAAGGATTATCTCCCATCATAGGAGAAAAATAAAGAGCAAAGCAAATAATTTATGCAATCCTATCTTGATCACACTGTTTCCAACTGTGAAAATGATATTCTCATAACTTCACAAAACCTTCTGTTGCAGCTAAAGAAGGGTGTGTGTGTGTGTGAATATGCATGCCAAGGAAGGCATATTACTGTTGTAAAAAGTTATCTTAAATTTTTCCTCAATGGAGAATCAATAACCCTATGTTCTCAATTCTGATGTGAGGACAATTAATGACCTAATACACAGTGGAGGTGGAGGATTGGAAGAGTAGAGAGAGGAATGGAGGGGGTGGGGTGGGGGGCATGGTGTGTGGTACAACTTTTTGGGGTAGGATACAATTATAAGAGGGTCTTTATGTAACAAATACAATCAATGTAACCTGGCTCTTTGTACCCTCAATGAATCCCCTAAAGTAAAATTAAAAAAATTCCTCAAAATTAGATACAAAACAATACCCTAGTCTGTGAAATGTAAAGTTATGTATCTCAGTAAAACATATAATAATGTAATTTTCCAGTCAGCTCATTGTTAGGCACAAAGTTCACACACCATATGCAGCAAAGGCATGAGGACAAAGGCTGAGGGAACTTTTGACTTTGAGGTCTAACCTTTCTGTTCTATATCTCAATGGCAAATATTAATAGATTATAAAGACTCTAACCACTGATATAGAAATTTACATTTTTTATGTGAAGACTGTGAAAGAATTTTGTCTGTTTTCTTTTGGTTTAAAGTAAACAAAAATTCAATGTAGTGTAAGGGTGGGGCTATACAAGTAGAAAGCCTTTATAATCTAGGAATTTCCAAGCTGCTTAGAACTGTTGCCGTTATAAAGCACAATGTGTGAGCCTAATGTTGTATGGAATTAAAGATGGTAATTTTTTTTTTTTTTTGGATACTAATGATGAGAAATTCACTTTATAACTAGAAGTCCAACATTCTGATTTTAATGATCTGGTAACTGACTCACTCTTCTTGTGTAAGCTACCAACTTATAAGAAATTATACTACATATTCTAGGAAAAGATTTTAATCTTACCTGTTCAGGATTTTGTACTATGTATCTCCTAATAGTGGTCTGTGGATATGTAGTGACTTTCACTGTTGGAGAATGAAGTTCCTATGAAGAAAAAGTAAAAACTACATATAATCACATTAGTTAGTAACCTTGGAGCAATCAGTAATAACAGGGAAAAGTCTGGGTGCAGTGCCTGTAATCCTAGTACTCTGGGAGGCCAAGGTAGGTGGATGTCCTGTGCTCACAGGTTGGAGACCAGCCTGAGCAAGAGCAAGACCCTGTCTCTAAAAAATATAGGCAGGCTTTGTGATGGGTGCCTGTTGTCTCAGCTACTCAGGAGGCTGAGACAAGAAAACTGCTTGAGCCCAAGAGTTTGAAGTTGCTGTGAGCTATGACACAATGGCACTCTACCAAGTGTGATAAAATGAGACTCTGTCTCAAAATGAAAAAAAAATTTTTTTCAGAGTCATTTGCATGCATGAAGACATATGATTTTATAATTTAGTTAATTTCAGTTTGAGAAACATAAAGCCTGGCATGGTGGTGTATGCCTGTGGTCTCAGCTATGTGGGAGGCTGAGGGAAGAGGATCACTTGAGCCCAAGAGTTTCAGTTTGCTATAAACCATGATGATGCCATGGCACTCTACCTTGGGTGACAGAGTGAGACTCTGCCTAAAAAAAAAAAAAAAAAAAAGAAAGAAAGAAAAGAAACAGGAAAATGGAAAACATGCTGTGTGCCCAGTTGGTGTGCTGGATACTTGACATTCATTTCATAATATCTTATCATACCTTCTAAACTGTATTTATGAGGGTTTAAAATTATCTGCTTCATTATAAATGTCATCACATGATTAGCAGAAAATATAGCTTAATTTTTATTAACTAAATCTTTGTAAAGGACATCTTATATTTTTTAAAAAAGGAGGAGCTATAAAGAAAAAAAGATATGTATTTACTTAATTAAATCTTCAGTGTGTTTGAAGGAGAGGGCCATAAATAACATTAAAACTGAGAAAAAACACTGTAACAAAATTATTTGTAAACTTGTAAACAAGCCTTCCAGAGGATTCTGGTTGAGAACCATTAGACTAAAGTTGCAAAAAAGGCAAAACCTGGGACTGGGAACCCACTCTCCGAGAACCATTTTCCTTAAGAAAATCACTTAATCTTTCAGTACAATGTATGCAATGTCAGACAATGTTTTTAAAGATTTTCCAGACAAATTGAAGGAAATATCAAGTATCTGAAGCTTTGTTGTTATTGTTGTTGTTTTTCATTTAGACACAGGGGATCACTCTTTCACCTAGGCTGTCATACAGTGGCCTGATTATAGCTCATTGCAGCCTTGAATTCCTGGGCTCAAACAATCCTCCCACTTTAGCCTTCTAAGTAGCTAAGAGCACAGGCATGCACCACTGTGCCCAGCTAATATTTTATTTTTTCTTTTTCTTTTTGTAGAGACCAGATCTCACTGTGTTGTCCATGCTGGTATTGAATTCCTGGCATCAAATGATCCTTCTTCCCACCGTGGATTCCCAAACATTATATTTACAAACTTCAACCCACCACGTCTGGCTTATTTGTATACTTTTGGTAAAAAGAGTAAATATCATCAATATAAAAAGAATTCTTGTATATCAATGAGGAAAAAAGTATCCATACTAATAGAAAAACGAGTAAATGATACAACAATTTATAAAAGAAGAAAATTAAATGGTTAATAAACTTAACAAAAAGTCTTCAACAAAACTAGGAATAAAAAATGTAACATTTTCTTCTATGGAAAGAGGAAAGATTAAATAATAATTCATGGGCTGAAATATGTAGCCATTAAATAATGATCTTGAATAATACAAATTTATATGGAAAAAGCTCACAATTTTATATGAGTTGAGTGAGAAAATGAGGACAAATACTGTATATATGGTATGACCTCATTTTTGTATTTGAATGAAAGAAAATACAGCAAAATGTTAAGAGTAGTATCTTTGGGTGGGGAAGGAAATCATAAGTGGTTTTGTTTTTGCTTCTTATATTATAGTACCAAAATTTTCTACAACAAACACATTTTTATTATCATCAATAATATGTAGAGTAAACCCAATTTTAAATCCCATCATTACAGGGCAGTGCCTGTGGCTCAGGGAGTAGAGAGCTGGTCCCATATACCAAAAGTGGCCGGTTCAAACCCAGCCCTGGCCAAAACTGCAGTAACAGGAGTGGTCAAGATGGCCAACAGGCACCAGTCTCCGACAGAAGCTCCTGTTCAGAAGAAAGGATAAAGTCCCGAGAAACACCCAACAAAGTAAAAAACTGGGAGCCCAGTTGAGAGAGAAGAGTGATACCGACAGGACACCTCTTCTGAGACAGACAGAGACTTCTAAAGGATGCTCCACAGGTACATAAATCTCTCCAAAGGAATAGGGCCCATCCCCTCCCCCAAGAAAGGTGTGCTTTTCCTTTGTTTCCTCTTCAACTGCTCCTCCGAGACTCCTACAGGCCACCGATAAACTGAGGACCTATTCTCTCACTCCACGAGTGAGAGCCGCCAACAGGGAAGTTTACTACTCTGCAGGAACCCAGTTGAGACTCGGAACACCCTCCCCCAGGCAGAAAAGTGGAACTGGCGTTTGCACTGCCATTTTGAGTTTCCAGTCCACTCTCCCTCCCCTTGCCCGCTGGGACAGGGAGAGGAGAGCCAGGAACGACATCCACCCACCCTTCCAAGACCAACCCCCTGTCCCAGTCCTTCACCGGGAGAACTCCTTGATCCACAGTTTCGGTGTGCAGACGGACCCCCCTCAGTCAGCCCATTCTGTGCTCAGCTGTCTCCCCGGCTGCTATCTGCACTTCCCGAGACCTTGGTGCTGGTGACCGGGACTGACTCCGAACAGGGAGGGCTGCACATCCCACCAGGCGTCCGCCTCCGGGGCTTTGGTGGCCCTTGACAGTGGTAGACTTCTGCTGGGTCAGGTCACTGAGCCGCGCCCACCTCCCGGAGCCCTGCTGGCCTGCGGCTTCCATTGACTTCTGCCGGGGAAGGGCACGCAGTCCCGCCAGCTGCTTGCTTGCCTCCAGGGCTTTGGTGACTGGCAAGGGCAATTGACTTCTGCTAGGGCATGTCGAGCAACCACGCGCTTGCCTCCTGGGGCTCCCTGGCCCTGGATCACCATCAGCCCCTGTCTAAGAGGGTTGCGCTGACACGCCAATGTCACTCCAGCCTCCAGGGCTTTGGTGACCGGGGAGGGCAGTCTCACGCCCACCTCCCAGGGTCTTGTCAGCTGGCAGTCGCCAGCACCTCCCGCAGGGAAGGGTTGCGCCATCCAGCCAGCGGTGCGCGTGCCACCTCTGGGGCTTGGCGAATTGCGACAGCAGCTGACTTCTGCTGGGGCAGGTCGCGCAGACGTGCGCCTTGCCTCCTGGGACCTCCTAGCACGCAATCACTGTGACCTCCCACCAGAGAGAGCTGTGCCATCCCGCCAGGGGCAGGTCGCGCACCCTTCTCACCGGGCCTTGCCAGCTTGCTGTCACCAGCAGCTCCTGCCTGGGAGGGTCCTGCCATCCCGCCAGCGGTGCACCTGTGTCTGGGGCTTTGGTAGCCAGCAAGGACAACTGACCTCCGCTGGGGCAGGTTGCGCCTGCCTCTCAGGGCCTTGATGGCTACACTGACTCCTGTAGGGGTGGGCTGCATCACCCCGCCTGCTGGCCCCACCTCCCAGGGTCTTGCC